TGAAGGGTTTGAAAAAGTACAGAAAGTGACAACCAAAATGATAAAGGGGCTGAAGCGACTCCCTGTGAGGGAAGGATACAAAATCAGGAACCATTTCATAGAGGAAAAAAATGTGACTAGAGATTATAAGAGTAAAGTGTATAAAATTGCACATGGTGTGGAGAAAGGAGATGGGGAGGGGCCAGAACTAATAGAATAATACAGTGATAAAGGTAAAGGTTCCTTGACAATTTTTGTCCAGTCGTGTTCACCTCTAGGGGGCAGTGCTCATCCCCGTTTCCAAGCCATAGAGCCAGCGTTTTGTCCGAAGACAATCTTCCATGGTCACATGGCCAGTGTGACTTAGACACGGAACACTGTTACCTTTCCACCGAGGTGGTCCCTATTTATCTACTTGCATTTCCATGCTTTCGAACCACTAGATTGGTGGGAGCTGGGACAAGCGAAGGGCGCTCACTCCGTCACGTGGATTCAATCTTATGACTGCTGGTCTTCTGACCTTGCAGCACAGGCTTCTGCGGTTTAGCCCGCAGCGCCACCACATCCCTAAATACAGTGATACAATGAGGAAAATAATGGGAGATACCTGATGTAAGGTAAAAATAGTCAGACAAGAGAAGAAAAGAGAGATTCAGTTTTAAATAAACTCTGATTTACCAACTATTGTCTCAAGTACTGTTCCCTTAAAATGATTTGTGAAGGTCCTCAGGATGGCTCCTGGTCATCTATAATATACATTTAATAGTATGTGGAAATAAAACTTCATTTTCATTGGCATTGTATTAAAATAGGATGGGGGCTCTATCACGATCCAGTGCTTACTAATAGCCACCACCTTTTAATATGTCTATACCGTCAACAAGGTCTCTACCATTTCTTTGCCATTTTGCCAACCCTTTTTGAGTAATTATCCCATTCACTTCAGCCTTGAATTAAAGATGCAAGCATTAAAAAGCTATTAATACTTCATCACAGTAGGTGCCATTAAAAATGAATGTAAAACTGAATTTTCAAGATGCATTTTGTAAAGCAGATGACGGCCACTTCCCCGAAAGAGTACTTTAACGGTATGGACAGTATCCTGAGAGGAATGCTGGAAGTGGCAGTTAGAGGCATAACACTTTGTAAACTCAGTATCATGGGTGCACAGAGGATGGCCCAGAGAGGTTGCAGGAAGCCTCTGAGGGTCCTAGTGTGAGCTTCCAGAACTCCTAATATCCCTAATGTTTTTTTTCTCCACATAAAACACACCATATGACTTCCAAGGGACACAATGGGTAATTGCATCACATCTCTTCAGTGTCTTAGGGCCCAACAAGAGCTCTTCCCCCATCCCAAAAATGGGAAATGACTTAAATGACTTCCATTTTTAAAAAAACGTCCTTCCTGGGCCTAAAGGGTGGCATGACAAAACTGTACATTTGCACCACTGAGGGCCCAAGGAGCCTTTGTAAGGAACAACAACAACTAGATGGTTTTTGAGGGCACACAGGTCACAACAGCCCTCTGAGGTCTGCAGGGGTGTGTTCCCCGCTCCTAGACCCCTGGAAATTGCCCACCCTCTTCTGTGTGAAGAAACATTTTTATGCTTATGATGTTCATAAGTGTATGGCTGTATTTTGGGACTCTGTCATGCAGCTCTAAGGGTCAGGCAGCACTTTTGCTCATTTCTTAACACGCAGTCTTGCTTTCTGTCTTTCATTTATGCAAAGGAGTAGGGGGACATATTTTATGGGAACTGCAGCATATCTCATACTGTGACCTACCTTCTGTTGTCTACAAACTGTAGAGGGGGAAAAATCCTATTGCCACTACCAGATTTTGTTTGTTTGTTTGTTATATACTGCTCAAAAGGCAGATTTAGGGGTTTGATTGCAACTGGGAAGGAAAAAGATAAATAATAATTTGATTAACATCCTGCATATACTAATTTTAACATATAAGTCCAAATTTAGAGATAATTTAATGTTATCACTCATCATAGGAGGGACAAGAGTACTTGTAGGTGACGTAGCAGTCTGTTCATTCTGCTGTCCAGGTGCTAACTGCAAATGGGCAACTTCAAGGCTTGCATTCCTTATTGTCCTAATTCAACTAGACGGTTTTTGAAACAGAGGACATCAAACAATGATTGCTGTCTGACATCCCTTCGGACAGAGGATTGTGTGTATACCGTTAAGTAGGAAAAGGTTCCCTGAATAAAGAGTTGAAACCTCCATGAGATAGGCTTATATGGTTCCCCCTTGAGTTATGGGGACCTCCCAAATAATGCTATTTCTCTCACACACAAACACGCACACACAGAGCAATGAAACTGTACATCCCAAAAGGGATTGGTTTTGTCTGTGACTCATATTGTACTGAAAGGACTTTCAAAGTAAGGGAGAGAGAAATTTCTCCATCACAATAGCAAGAACCTTCACAGAACCTTCAGTTTCATCTAGAGCAGTGGTCCCCAACCTTGGGCCTTCAATTTCATCTAGAGGACAAATACACCAATGGCAAGAAAGACATTCTACAGTGTTGTTTCCATTTCTAAAAACAGCCATTAAGAGCAAGAAGAATTACACTGGAAAGTAAGTTTAGCAGATGGATCCATGTGCAAACTAATTTGAACAGGCATTTTCTAAAACAGAAGCAGGCCAGAAAAAATGAAAGATTATTTCTGGCTAAAAAGATCTAGAGGACAAATACACCAATGGCAAAAAAGACATTCTACAGTGTTGTTTCCATTTCTAAAAACAGCCATTAAGAGCAAGAAGAATTACACTGGAAAGTAAGTTTAGCAGATGGATCCATGTGCAAACTAATTTGAACAGGCATTTTCTAAAACAGAAGCAGGCCAGAAAAAATGAAAGATTATTTCTGGCTAAAATTGAACAAATTAAATTATGAGAAGCTTAATACGTTTATTCAAAATTTAATTGCATAACCTGATGTCAAGGTTATTACATTCTACACTGGTCCCTCATCCCAATTCAAAAGAGAAAGGCACCGATTTCATTTCAAGCTGCTTTTATGACAAATCAGTTTCTCCTGCCAGAAAAAAAGAAAGATGCACATGTTGATACAGTATTCTCACTCTAGAGTTTCTTTCTCTGAAGGTATTAATAAAAGACAGTTTTGGAAAATATGGCAATGAAACTGGTTGAATTTCAAATTGCCCATACAGAATGTACCAGCCAACCATTCTTTTTTATTCTTATATAATATAAAGGTCAAAAGTGAAACCACATAAAAGTATCAAGTATATGGGACAACTCCACCCCTATACCTGCAACAGAGCGTTCCAACAGAAGTAAAATGACCAATGAATTTTTGCTTCAAGCTAATTTCAAAGCAAAAGTAGGTTTATCCTGAGGTGGCATTACAGGGAAACACAGTGGATCCAAAAAGAGATTGACTTTGTCCAGCATTCTGTTCTACCCGTGGCCAAACAGATGCCTATGGGAAGCCCACAGTAGGGCACAAAAACATTAGCACTCTGCTACTTATGTTCCATCTCAAGTGGCACTGAGGAGAATACCTCCTTTACTATCCGAAGTAATATGCAGCCATCAGAATTTGTAGCCACAGATATACTTCTTTATGAACTTGTCTGTGCTAACAATATCCTGTGCAAGATACTTCTTGCACAGAATATTGCTGAGCCATGTATCCCCCATCTTGCAACTGTTCATTTGGACATGGGGAAAACGTAAATACAGACCTTAAGAGCAGTAATAGAAAAAACAGATAAGGGTTTCATTTATTAGCTATAAGCACTGTAATGGGATAATGTTAAATTTATATTTTAATATTATTCCTCACAAGCATTTTTTAAATGTTTACTGGCAGAAAGACTAAATCATAATACTCTTAGAACTACAGAGCTGAAACGGAACTTGTGGATTATCGAGCCCAGTTCCAGTCAAGGAGGCACAGTGGAGAACTGAATAAGCAACCTCTGAGAGCAAATGATGTACAAATTAGTTCCTTCAAATAAGATAGAAGGAAGAATACTTTAAAGTGGATGTACGAGAGCTATGAAATATCTGAATTACATACAAATAAAGCTACTCTCTAGGAACTGAAAAGTCTACTGTGGAAAGGATCTATGGGCTTCTCTGACCCCTCAGAGTCTACATATTAGCAGGCTACGTATAAGAGCTGAGGATGAGGTGATGTATTAATATCTTTCCATCTGACAGTACCATTTCTGCATTTCTGGAAATGTTAGTGACAAGATATGTATCCCTATCAGTACACTTTCAGTGATACTTCCTACCTTCGAGTATTTTTCTTCTCTTCCATTATAGTTTATGAATCCTTCCTCTTAGCAGAAAAGATAGAGGAGTCCCATACTATTATATTACTCATAAATGAAGTCATGGAAGAAATTCATCCCAATCATAAAACAGTTTAGAGCAGAAGTTCTGAGCAAATGGTTACAGCAATATTTTGGACCCCCTCTTAACTGAATGGCAGAAGTCCCTTACGTTCTTAGAGGTTCACAGAAAGCATGTCTTGACTAGCATAGTCTTCTGCTGCTGCTTGTACTGTATTCCTGGTGTGTGTTGACTACTCAAGATATTTACTTTGCAGCAAAAGAAAACAGCATTTGAACAACCATGATGTAAACATAATATCTCAAGCATCTGGTGTTGAATTAGAGAAAATTGGGGACAATAAACAATTAATAATAAATTTACAATGATTCTTTACTTGGATTGCTGCCTGAATAAAACTGAGCTCCCTTCCAAGTCACAAATGGATTCCATATAAATTTTATTTCATCACCTTCATGCAGCATGGCTTCTGCAGCCAATCCTCATGTCTGTTAGAAAACAAAACTATTCTGCATTTTTTTCAGCATTGTTCTATTCCTATGTATCTTTGAGGAAGCCAGTTTGAAAGAAATATGAAGACTGTATTAGTATTTTAAAAAAATGGCAAACTGAGAAACCAGAAAATAAGAACCAACAAGAGGAAGAGGGCAAAAATTAAAAAGCGATGCTTACCGCAAACTCATCCTGCCACTGATGTTCTTGCTGAAATTTCTCTGCTGCTTCTGCAAGGCGCTAGAGAAAACAGAACAGAGAGAGAGAAAAGACTTTAGACCTCTGGTGCAGTTACAGTATTAGTGAATCAAGAAGAGTCAGGATTTTAATGACTGATGCCACCATATCTATCTGAAGTATCAGGGGAGGAAGGAAGCTTGAAGGAAACCAACATTACTCTACCAGACATGAACAAAACTACTTAGATCTGTATCTTTTAAAAAGTACTATGGCAACATCAGTTCACCTAAGAATCAAATTAAGCATCAAATCAAGTGCAGGGACAAGAACACATTTTAATACACAAACTGAAATGCAAGGATCAGTTCAGATTCCACACTTCTCTGAATTTTATTTATTTATTTATTGAGCTTATATGCTCCTCATTTAGACATAGTCTACTCTGGGCGGCTCACAAGATCAATTCAGATTCCACAATTCTCTGAATTTTGCAATAGAGTTCCCTCAATCAAAGCTCTGCATTGGAATACTTGCTGGGGAACCTGGGACAAAAATGTAATAAGAGCCTCGTGGCGCAGTGGTTAATAACAACTTACAGCATTTACACAGAACAAAGCGGAAGTTACATAGTGCCCGGAGGGAAGGCTTATCTATCTAACCAGGTCTTGAGTTGGTTTTTGAAAATACCCAACGAGGGGGCCAGACGAATCTCTATTATAGTAAAGTAACTATAGTATTATGGTTGTGCCTTCTTTTTCTATTGTTATCATGTTTCAAAATTGGTTGGTAGGGTTTTGCGCCACAAGGTAAAAATTGTTAACATATAACAACTTTGCTTGGAACACAGAAGATCTTCAATTTTTAGTGTTTCTGGGCTGTTGACATTACTAAAGTTGGTGAGATCAGTTCTACTGCATAAAGTGGTATACATCATGCACAGTCAGTGGTGGAATCCTTTCCAAATGGTATTAGCACACTACGACTACATCACTCATAGTAAATAGCCAGCATCCTGCTTTCTACCATGGGCAAAAGAAAAAAAATGTGGAAGCCACAGCAGCTAATGGAGAAAATATTTTGTGCACAAGCAAATGAGGGACGAAGCACATGACCAATGTGCAAACAGCAGCTTGTCACTTAGCTGCTGCCGCTTCTGCAATTTCCGCACACAGTAAAAAGCGGTAGGGTTCTGGACAATGCATCAATGACAGCTAGTAAAAAGTACTGAAAAAATCAAGGAAAATAAGCAGTAAGTAATGCATTTTGAAAAAAGGGGAGAAGGGAAGACAGGGAGAAGCAGAATATCTTTGGGCTGTTTGACACGTTTGTGTGCATCATTTGATGACTAGCAGCCAAATGTGAGAAGGGAACAGACATTACAGAAAAGTACTTTGTCTGAGACTTTCTGAGCCAGTATGAATGTTCTGTCTGTTGTGTTAGCTTTTTGATGTGTAAGTCATCACTTTATGCTGTAATCATTTTGTGGCTGGAATGCAATAACCATTAAGTGGTTCTTAGGATGCTTTGTGCAAACCTCAGGCTGGAAGAATATCTTTTACAAGTCTGTAAGAATCAGATAGAAATATTAATTCCACAAGGACTTAATATATCACGTACACTATGCCAGCAACTTCCCACCTGTGCAGACACCTTTTCAATACACTCAGACAAATATAATTCATCTGTATGAAAGCATGACAACTCACAAACACACCACTGTAGCAACCACACTCTGCTGCTGAGGGTACGAGACTAGAATGGCAATGCAAATGTTTCACTTAAACATAATTCTGCTCTGTTGTATTGCCTGACTACTGTGTGTTCTCCCACAATTTTCCACATATCTTTGATTGACAGATAAGCTACAGGCTGGAGTTCACAAAGGCTAAAACTTCCAGGAGATGATGTCTCTTACTATGGAAGTAAAATTCAATTGTGTTGTTCATGCCACTGCAGTCTTAATGACATGGAGTGAAATATTCTGCCTCTGAGAATCACAGTGTTGTCTTTTTAAATCTGCTCTTTCTTTTATCCACTAGACATTTTTATCTCCATACAACCCATCAATACAACATTCTCAACTGCCATTAAAAAGAAGCAAAGAAAAGCAAAGGCAATATCTTTTTCCCCCTGCACAGCTAGGAAAAATTACTTTTAATTTTAGTTTTAAATCCTTGGAATTTCTAGTTATGCTGCCTGTGGATTCCAGAAGTAATAATCCAAAAAAGTATCTTTTAAAAACTACTTATTCCTGTATCTGCCAATGATCCTGCTTTTCCATCAATTGTAAGATAAGACTGCTGAAATGTGTAGTCTGAGGCTAACAGAAATGCACAAGACTGTGGTTTTCTTGATCCGTATGGAATGCCCTTACAACCTGCTGGAGGATTCTGTAACCTACAGTTATGATTTACCCAAGTTTATACCCTTTAAAGATATTTCCACAAGTACAATACATTAAGAAACACTGTCTAGACATGAAGTAAGAGAAACCAGGACCTCGGCTGATCGATCATTTGCTTTTCTCTGTTATAGCACCCCGTTCCCCAAGAATACAGAAAATCTTCACAATGCTTCATTTTTGGCCTTGCTCTAAGACCTGCTGCTTGCTCACAAGACAAGTTCCAAATTGACAGCAAAGCCACTCCATTTGTTAAGCTACTGAATTTAACCATATTGATGACTGGCACCAGATATAGGGAGCATGCAACTCTCTTATTCCACCAGCTTCTTGGCTACCAGTCTGTTTCCAGGCCCAATTCAAAGTGCTGGTTATCACCTATAAAGCCCTGTATACATTGGGTCCAGATTATTTGTAGGGCTGTGTCACCCCTTCTTGGCTTTTATGATCTTCTGGGGAGGCCTTTCTCTCTGTTCCACCACTTTCCCCAAGCTCATCTGGTGAGGACCTGGGAGAGGGCCTCCTCAATCACTGCTCCCAGGCTTTGCAATGCTTTGCCCTAAGAAGCGAGATTGGATCCCTCCCTCTTGTCCTTCCATCATCAAGCAAAGGCCTTCCTCTTCAGGCTTTTAAGCAGTCAGTTATCTCAGGAATGCTGGCCTTTAACGTACAGATTTTGATGTGTTTTTGAATTTATTTTAAACTTCATCTTTAAATCTTAATACATGTTTAATTGTTTTTTAAATATATTTATATAGTGTTTTAAAATCTATTGTTTATTTGTTGTGAGCCGCCTTAGGTCCCCTATGAGGAGAAAAGTGGCATATAAATAATGTAAATAAATAAATAAACCAGCATCCATTTGGGTCTTCAGATAGCACAGAACAATCTGGCCCATGCAGTACATGTAGACTTTCAGGATTGCCAATCTTGAACACTACTGAACTCCAACAGCATAGTGGCAAATTTGGAAGTGCGGCCGCTTATCATGCAAATCTCCATAGCCACTCCACCAAAAGGAGAATCCAAAAACACAGGCAGTGGGATCATACCCTACAAACAAATTAGGAGCTTTTTCTTTCATAAAGTTAAAAACCGCAACACTATTGGCATTCACATAAGTTTTCCAAAATCTGTAGCAGCTAATTGCTGGGATCCACCTTTCTTGCATGTCGGGTCATGGGCCTGAATGTGCAATTGTGAGACATGCCAGCACCTCCTCAATTAGTCCCAATTAGCCATGACAACTGATACAGACCTTACATAACCACCAATAGATTCCAGCAAGTGGCTCTTAATCACCCATTCAAGAACAATCAACCTCAAATACTTCCAATTACAGCAGAGAAGGCTTACAAAAATATACTGTTGCTTTGCTGATCGATTTCTCTCCCAGCTACCACAAGGACTGCGGCTAAACGCAGAGGAAACAGAGAAGCCTAAGGGAGTTGCATATGGTGTCATAATCTCTGCTGCTCTGCTGCTCAGAGAGTCCCATGGTTTTCACCCTGCAACCCCTAACTCCACTACACCACTGATCAACTCACCTAGGTTATACTCCCTTACCAGTTCTTCTCTGCTTTGCTGATATCATCTGTTAAAGCACGCAACAGCAAAGCTGATAAAAGGAACCTTGGACAAGTTAATGAAAGAGATGCCCAGATATAAATGTCTTCTTTCCTCCTCCTCCTTCCATACTGAACAAAGGTAAGAGTTGAATGTGCAACTAGATTCATGTTGGCTTTCTAGAGACATCAATTCAGATTCCAGTCCAGTTTCAGAGACATTAATGTCTAGATGTGAAAAGCTACTGATGCCAACCTACGTTTCCCATCAGTGGAGTATGGTGTTTGGGCTTTACCCTAGTGGGCAGAGACGCAAGGGAGTGACTGTGAGTGAAGGGGACATACATGGGGATGAGTCCAGTAGGCAAGTGCCTGGACTATAAGGATTAGAGGGTACCCTTATTGAAGCTGAAGCTTAAGGCAAAGGAGCCTAGTTGTAATTAGTTGTACAATTGAAGTTACATAATTGCAGCATGCTGCTTTCCTGTGCAATCATGACAACCTTAAAGGGACCCTTTGACCAACCCCTTGACTATGGAGGTCATGAGGGTGCCCACAAATGCCTAAATGGGGATCAGGAATCATGACAGATTGCAGGCATATGTTTCCCCTCCTTGTTTCCTGTAATCATCTAAAGAGGGTCTCAGTCAAACAGTTGATGGTCCACTAATAAGAGGACTGAAAAGATAATGAAACGGTATCTCAAATGCAATCCTGGATAGTGCTATCGATCGATCGGATTTCTATCCCACCCTTTTAGACCAAAGGTCTAAAATAATAAAATAAAATAATAAAACCAAAAACATATATTATAGATCCAAGGTGATGAAAGTATAAGAAATTAAGATACGGCAGAAGGGAAAACCTGTGCAAATAGCCAGGTTTTAAGTTTATTCCTGAAAACCCCCAGACAGGGAGCCAGGTGGATCTCCACTGGCAAGTTGTTCCAGAGGCGAGGAGCCACTGCCGAGAAGGCCCAGTGCCTCGTTCTTTCCTTCCGGACCTCCCTCGGCATTGGGCCCCTCAACCACCTGGCCTGGCTGGAATGAGTGACTCTGGCAGAACTGGGTGGGAGAAGGCGCTTTGCCAGATAT